TCAGAAGTAGCCCACAGAGCACACTCTTTATACTTCTCTAAGAGGAAGAATGAACAGAACCCAGTGGGCTCAGAGCTTTCTTTTAGACTATTCACTGTGCTTCCTCTTGTTGGGGTATCCAAAGCTCCTTGATTGACAAAGAATGCTTACCCTTTAGAACTTGTTCAGATGGGAATCTAAGAGTAGGGAAAGGGTATCCCTCTAACCCTGCCTGGAATGTGCTTAAGTCTCTGGATGGGCAGCTAGAGCCTTTCCTTACACTTGCCCCCTTTGATGTTATCAGAATGATTGCAACAACATGGTGCAATATGGAGAAAGCCACTTGCAGAAGACAGTGTGACCATGGATGGGAAAGATGATATGGGACATCATAAGTGAATGTAGAGTAGGATGGAGAGTCCATCTAGAAACACTTGTCATCATGCCATCATACCCTCTTTCAGAGGCCTGGTACATTGACAAAAAATGAATATTTATATATTTAAATATACTTGGATGTGACAGGGGCTGTCTTCAACGACCTCTATCTAGGCAGTTTGCTGCTACAGTGCTTCTTTGCCAGTCTCAGCAACTGTTGGCAGTGCCAGCAGCTATATTTCTCCTAAGCCCCCCACATACATCTCACTCAGCTCCACATTCTAAGAGCTGTATTCAAATCTGTTTGTGTCACTTGCTCATTAAAGTTAGTGATTTAGGTATTATATACATTGATAAAAATTAAGTGGGAACAGAGAACTATTTCAATGAAAACAATTTTAAACCTTTTAATAGATTGGATAAAGGCACATTGCCAGAAATACTTGCTGTTTAATTAGGCATGAAGGAGAGACAAGCATAAAACATCGAAGGACTGTCGGACAAAGCTAAGATTCTATACTGTGGTTTTGCCAGTGTCATTGAATGTTTGCTTCAAGTTGAACTGAAACCAGATGACAGTGTGCACGATGGGTTTGCTTTATTCAAGAAAGACATTGCCCTGACCATGTATTTGGAAATTCAGATTTCCATTTGAAAATAAACAACATGTTCAATCCAAAATACCTGAGATGAAGAATAAAGTCTACACAGACAGACGAATGCTGCTCTCTAATGCTCTTGCTCAGTCTAAGTGCATATTCACTTTGAAAGATGGACTTAGTGGTAATAGTAACAGGGGAGAAGGGAGAGACCAGGTGGGTGAAAACAGGAGTAGCACAAAACTTAGTGATGGGTAGCATCCATCCAGGATTTAAGGAAATGTGTGCTTTTGTGTTTGGACATGGGTGATGATAGGTGATAAATGGATGATTATGTTGATCAAGTCCTGGTGTGTTGGGACGCCTCGGTCCTCCAACTGATTTTCCTGATTGTCATTTGATTCTCCACTTAACAAGTCCAGATACAAAACGTGTGGCAACAGTATATTTGTAGCCATTCTTGTTCCCGTGGAATTCTGGTAATAGGAAGTCTAGAGTATCTACGTGTAAATACCTGGTGTAGGTTATCAGGAACTGCCCCTCAGCCATGGCTCTACTCTGTATGTGGACAGAATCAGGTTCTTCATGTGGGGATTGAGAAGTAGACCCTGGGCTATGAGCATCTGGCCAAAAAAAATGACAACACAGCTTCGTAGATAGCCTTTCAGACCTTTCTAGATCCTCTAAGAGATGCTATTCTTGGAATCCATATTCTTCAATAGTACAGCCTCAGCCCTTTGGCTGTTTTGGTGGGATAGCTTGGCTGTATTTTTCACTGAAAGAACTAGAACAAAATTAGATCAAAACAAGGGACTAGATTCTAAGGAATATTTAAGAGTTTCTTCAAGAACTTTCTTCCCAAGGCAGTAATTATTTACTGCAAGTATATACATTTCCAAGCAGACACAACTACTCCCATAGTTAAGATCTTTAGGGTTATTTTTTGTGTTATTATTATACTCATATTTAAGAATCATGTTCATTAGGGCTATTCCCATGTACACAGAGCCCTTTTGAGGTAGGTCCTCTTGGTCTATAGCTCAGGATGACCTTGAACACATACTCTTCTTCTTATTTATTTGCCTGATACTGGGTTTTCAGGCATGCCACACTATGCCTTGCTTCCTGGAGGCCTTTTGTAGTAAGAAATGTCAGAGTCATGACATGACACTCTTGAGTTAACTTTTGTAGTAAATGAACTATCAACAGGAGACCAGCCTTCCTTGCAGAATGCCAAGGCCTTTTAAACACAGCCTGCAGTTAGTTTTCCATCTTTCAGCACCCATACTTTTACAAAGAGCATACACATCTTGGAGAGCTGGCATGAATCATGATAACGCAATTTATAGCACCCAGGTCTCTGTGGTTTTCTTTCTCCGTTTTATGCTGTGTGTGTAGCAAATACAGTGGTCCTGGTCATAGAGCCTGTGAGCCAACAGCCATTAGATTGACTGGACAGTGGCCAACTCCCCACTTCATTCCAGCCTGTGTCATTCTTAGGTCACAAGCAGCAATCTCTGAAGCTGTCTAAAGCCTCTCAAATCCAATAGTCAAGCTATAAACTAGGAGAGAGAGAGACAGACAGACAGAGAGAGAGAGAGAGAGAGAGAGAGAGAGAGAGAGAGAGAGTGTATGCATGTGTACTGGAATCTTGTTATCTATTTTCTCTTTCTGTTCAGACAACTCAACAGAAACTCTGCATTTACTTTCAAATGCAGATAGTGGAGAGCCTCTAGTACTCACTGATTTCCCAGAGCAATGTTCTCTCTAAAGCCAGTGAGTTTTCTTTTTCAGGAATATGTATGTACCATGCTATTAATTATGTGAAGCTGTTGATGCTCTTCCTTGTCTTATATTAGGAAAACATAGCACTTAAAAAATTTTAATTGTATTTTTAAAATTATTTTGTAATAGTTTTACACTTTTGTTAAAGCTTTAGGAAAATACAAAGGACTATTAATAATTTTCACCCAGATGTTCACCAATAGTTAATATTTTGCCATATTTACCTTAACAATTTCAGTCCCTCACCTCTCTTCTGGTATCCTCTATCCATACCCATCTACTCATGTATCTTGCATTTTATTTTATTTTGTTTTGTTTTTGTCCAAAATACATTCTAGAATTCCTTGCTCTCTCGCTCTCTTTTTTTTTAACGGTAGTAGTACTGGGCCTTGAGATCTTGTTTGGCTTTTTTATTCAAGGCAGGTGCTCTTCCATTTGAATCACATCTCCATTTCTGCATTTTGTATTGTTTTGAGACTTTACCTTGAACTTGCAATTCTTCTACCTCAGTTTCTCCAGAGCAGAGATTATGGATACATACTACCACACTTGACTGTCTGTCTATCGATCTATCTATCGATCTATCTATCTATCTACAATATATGTACACATATACACATATACTTATGAGATAATACTATCTTATAAATTATTTGAGAGTAATTACAGGATCATGCTTCTTTTAAACATTTATGAACAAGGATGTTCACTACATATTCACAAGATTAGTAAGAAAAACAAGAAATTTAATACAAACACTTTCTACTCTCTCATTTATAAACCTTACATTTTATTAGCTGACACAATACCATTTATATACAAAACTTTTATTTCCTTTTTTTGACAGTCTTGGGTCTTGAACTCAGGGCCTGGACACACTGTCCCTGAGCTTCTTTTGCTCAAGGCTAGCAGTCTACCACTTGAGCCACAGTGCTCAAGGCTAGCACTCTACCACTTGAGCCACAGCACCACTTCTACCTTTTTCTATTTATGTGGTACTAAGGAACTGAACCCAGAGCTTCATGCATGCTAGACAAGCACTCTACCACTAAGCCACATTCCCAGCCCTTATTTACTTTTTTTAAGGTCTAATATCCAATTAAGTATTACACATAGCATTAAGCTTTTCTTAAGTCTCCTTCAGCCTAGAACATTTTGTCACCCTATTCTTGTTTTTCATGAGCTCAATGATTTTAAAGAGCTTAAACCAATGACTCTGATGTCCCCTGAGTTGGGCTTGCAGGTACTTCCCCCTGCTACATGCATATCACCCTTTTAGACTTTCTGGTGCACGGTAGGTATCCATCAGGAGGTTGGTGAATCTATGCTCTCATGGCTGGTGTTGTTGGCTCCCACCACCTTGTCCAGGGCTGTCTGCTAGGGTTTTCTATAGTAAAGTTACTATTTTTTCCTTTGTAATTTCAATACACAAACCTTTATCTGTATGGCTTTCAGTTAGTCACAACCAACCATGGGCTGGAAATATTGTATGGAAATTTTCACAAATAAACAGTTCATAAATTTTCAATTACTTTTTATGGAATATGCTGTCTTGTTTTATTGTTAGTTATTATAATCTCTGCTGTGCCTAATTTATACTTTATGACATGTATGTGTATTTAGGGAAACATAAGAGTTCTAAAGTTCTTGAATCTACTCGAAATAGTCTTGTAGTTAAATGAGAACTACCATAAAAGGTAGATTGTGAGTAGGTATTTCAGAACTGTGTAAATTCTCTTTTCTGTGTCTTCTGCTTTTTGTGGCTTTTTTTTGTTTTTGGCTGGTTGTAGGACTTGAACTCTGGACCTGGGCACTCTCCCTCAGCTCTTCAGCTCAAAGCAAGTGCTCCACCACTTGAGCCACAGCACCACTTCCAGTTTTCTGGTGATTAATTGGGGATAAGAGTCTCACAGACTTTCCTGCCTGCACTGGCTTTGAGCTGAAATCCTCAGCTCTCAGCTTCCTGAGTAGCTTGGATTACAGCATGAGCCACTGGCACCCGGCACTGGTGGCTTCTTTTAAACATTTTTTTATGTTATTTTAAAGGTGATATACAGTTATCTAAGTCAGGTAAAGAATAAATTTCTTTTTGTACAATGTCATCCTTTCCCTCACTCTCTCCCAATTTTTCTCTTCTGGCTACTCCCACAAATGGTACAGTTTCAACATAGTTCCCAATGAGTAACATTTGTTCACCCTTTTTTGGTTGCTTCTTGACTGCTATTAATGGGTAATTCATGTGTTTCTTGTCCTCTCCAGTGGTGATCATGTGTGCCAGTGGTGACACCATCCGGAGCATCATGTTGGCAGTGCACAGACATGGCATGACCAGTGGAGACTATGCCTTCTTCAACATTGAACTCTTCAACAGTTCTTCCTATGGTAACTACCTCCAGCTTCCCAGACTGCTGCAAATGTGCCAAAGGGTGGGGAGAGGAAAAACTAAAGATTTGAGTTATTCCCATAAGTGTGATTTTCTTAATCCAAATTTGGAAATGAGTGATTCTGAGCACTCACACAGCATCTCTAATTTCACAGCCCACTCCTGTACTCCATAGGATCCTAAAGGCAGGCAAAGACCCCTTGCCCAGTGCTTTTCTATTGTAGATTGCTATCATCATGGTAGACTATCAAAATAATTTTAGTCAGAGTGAGGAGACTATCAATAAAAGAATGAATAAACTAGAAAATTGCATAATAGAACAGAACATGCTAAGGTATGATGGTTAGCACCTGAATTATTTCATAATACTTTTATTTTGCCAGTACCACTGCATGTATGTTTTTATGCACACATAGATTTATAATGTGTTGCAATGTGAATGAAGTCACTATTACTATAAATAGAGGTAAAAACATTTGAAGTCATTGCTCAGAACCACCTTTCTTCCAGATAATCACATATTCAGCATCTTCTATATCGACCCGTAAAAATTGCTAACATACAGGGTTGACATCATCATTGATTCCTTACAACAGATCTGGGGATGTTTCTAGGGTCCTTGTGATGAGGGAATGTTTAAAGAGCTCATCAGAATCACTGATACAAAGCATTCTCCACCCCTAACTTAAGACTTTCTCTGAAGTAGACATGCATGCTGGTGCTCAAAGCTGCACCGTTCAGTGTATAGATCACAAATGGTATGTTTATGCTGAACTCCACTTCCAAGTTCTTGCTGATGACATGTAGTTAGACAAGATCCAAACCTTCAAGCATTAGCTCTGGTTTCCTGTCCAGATATCCTGGCTTAGTTAAGCAGTAGATCACTCTGTATACACAGATAATATAATACACTTTTCATGGGGGTTCAAGAAAAGTTGGTAAAACAAGAGTAGCCACTGCTTCCTGTAGTGGATACAACTAGAGATTTGAGACTTGCAAACTAAATATTATATTTTACCTTCCTTGCTGCATGATGGTCTTTTCCCTTATTGCAGCACTGGAGTGTTGGTTCTTCTCCTCCTTTCCTGTCATATCCTTCTCCCCCTCTCTCCCACCTAGTCTTTCTCCTTCCCATCTCCTTTTCATTCCCTACCATCCCTCTTGTGTTTTGACTAAGAGTTTTGATATATAACACAAGGTGGCTTTGAGCTTGTGATGCTCCTGCTTTTCGTTTCCTGAGTGTTAATGGCAACTAGAGGCTTGCACCACCATGCCCAGCCTGGATGTACTTCCTGACCTAAGATCAGAATGTGATGGCATTCGTGGCAGCAGCATTGAGTTCTTTAACATCGGAATTGAGATGGCTAAAAGCAGAAAACATTTCATTCTGAGTTTTACAGGGTAGCAAATGAGTTCAATGCACATGATAACTAGGCAATCACATTTAGCATATGAATTCATGTGCACTGTTCACCTAATACAAAAAGTGCAAGCATTGGATACTTTCATCCATAAATAACTTTTCCTTGTTGATTGAAGTGAATAAATATTGCAGTTGATTGAAGTGAATAAATATTGCAGTTAATTGAAATGCATAAATATTACAAGGATTTATGGGAAAAATAGGCTATTATTCTGTCAGTCAGTTACAAAGAACATTGATAATTTTCAGAAATACGTACCTTCTGTCATATATACATATTTTTTACAAAAATATTACAAAAATAGTCATTTATAGTTTCACTGAATAACAATCTATAATGTTGACATGCCACCTGAAGCAACATTATTTCTCAGTGTTCACATTGCTCCAAACTTTTTGCTATTAAGAACAATGGGCATGTGCCCAGACATTTACTTACATATTTAGATGAAAGGGAGGTACTATGTAAGATGAATTTCTGAAAGTAGAGTTGCTGGCTCAGAGGTCATAGGCATTTAAGTTCTGCTTTTGCTTAGAACAGGGAATTCAACCCAGTGCTTCACCCTGGTTAGCTAGTCAAGCACTCTACCACTGAGCCACATTCCCATTTTCCATGTTTTTTGTTTTGTTTGTTTTTGGGTTTTTTGAGATATAGTCCTGCTAATTTTATCTGGGCTGACCTTGAACTCTTGAATACCTCTGCCTCCACCTCCTCAGTAGCTGGGACTATAGAGGAATATTAACTTTGATTACCAAGTTGCCTGATAAAGAGATATACGAATTTATACATTTTTGACAATGTATAAGGTTGTTTATCCTCCTACATTTTAATCCACCACACATAATCTCACTCTGTGCACTTATTTGAACATCTCTATGTCCATAAATGAAATCCTGAAGTTTTCTTTTTTCAAAATACTCATTTGTAAATTAACTGTTAAATTTCAATAAGATTAACTACTTTGGTGTAAACAATTCTGTGGCTCTTATTGCATTCACAGTGCTCGTATAATCACTACCTTTTAAATTTATGTTATTTTAGTTTACAAATCACAATTATTTTGCACTTATAAAATATAATATGGTATTTTGACATGTACATGTACAATTTGCAGTGATTGAGTCAAATGAATGAATATACTCTTTACCTCATTTACTTGGTATTTTTGTGGTGATACATTTCAAATTTGCTTTTTGGTTATTTTTAAACAAATATGTACATTCTGCACCATTTTTGTTGAAATTATTCTAGGTTGGTATTCATATTCTTATGATTCACGATATTTTCCTGTTATAACTGGAATTATATAGAAAAGCAATTAATTACTTTTATCTATTTATTTACTTTATAAGAAATTTACTACATCTTCTGATAAAATAGGTTTTTAAAATTATTTTCACACAGTAATTGCAGCCTTGATCCAACTTGATGGTTATAATCTTATTTCATATTCTTTTATTATTACATTGCCAAGAGTCTTAAGAATAATATTGTATAGCAGTGGTGATAATTTCTTACTTCTTGCCTTGGTGAAGATGTTAAAGTATATTTTTAGTCCTCATATAATGATTATGACTTTAAAAATCAAGAAAGTGTATTTTCTCAGATGTATTTGATCTATTCTTTTTATAAATTTCCTAATACTGAGTTGTCAAAATGCTATTAGAATTAAGTATATTCTATTGTGATTGCTTTTAGACATATTGCTGCATTTAAGTTCTTCATATTTTTGTGTAGGATTTGAATCCATAGTCATGAGTAAGATTAGAAAGGAATGTTGTTGCCTAAAGATTATTGCTAGATTTGAATGTCAGGTTTACATTAGCTTTGTAGCATTAATTGGGACTTTCCACTATTTTCCATGCTCAGTTACGTGTCATAGGAGTATTTCTTGAAATATGGAAACAATGAAATGGTACATTTGGACTTTGCCGTTTTTAGGGTAATTGTTAGAAAACTTGTTTTAACCCTTTTATTTTGAAGTAACTTTTCTACTTACCGAAAATTTGCAAAAATAATAGAGTCTGTGTATTTGTTTTACCAAGTTTCCTCCAATGTTGACAATCAGACTACATTTCATCAAGATAGCAAAAGTAACATTGATATAAAACTACTAACTAATCTGTGAGTCTTACTTGAAGATTTTCACCTTCCTTCCTTCTTGTTTTGTTCTAGGATTGAAGCTCGGGATTTGTATTAGAAACTGTATCCCCTCTAGTCTATGATAGTTTCTCAGTCTTTCTTTTGACACTTTCGTTTTTTGATACAATTTTTCATCCATGTGTTTTATTTTAGGATGTGCTTTGGATGTAGTCTAAATAAATTATAGATATTAAATATGATAAGTAAAACAAAAGTTGTATCCTGCATTATACAATTTTAAGCAATGCAGGCAACTTGAGCAAGGGGAAATATATATATATATATATATATATATATATATATATATATATATATATCTTCAAGTCATCTGCAGAAAGGTAGCATAAAGGTTGGGTGCAGGTGGATGATGCCTGTAATCCTCATCATGATTCAAATCTAGCCAGGGCAGGAAAGTCTGTTAGACTCGTATCTCCAATTATCCACTAAAAAGCCAGAAGTGAAGTTGAGGTTCAAGTGTTAGAACACCAGTCTTTAGCACAAAAGCTTAGGAACAGCACCTAGGACCCAAATTTAAGCCCCAGGACCAGCACAAAACCATGTAGCATACACATTTTATTAAAATGTAAGTAATAAAATGGATGTAATAAATACAGTAGTCCTTTGACACTTTTGACAGACCCATTTTTTATAGAAAGTCTCAATATCTGGTATTTTTCCATGATAAGACTGAGTTTATGCTTTTTTAAAAAAAATAACAAAAGTGATGTCACATCCCCCTGGGGGTAGAATACCTGTGCATAAGAAGTTGTATCTAGATAAATTATTACTGGTGGCTTGGGCAACATTTTAAAAGTTACTTTCCCACAAGTTTTGTCTTTCTGAAATTACATTTCTTGAACATTTAATTGCAAAGAGTTAGAGACTGTTCTTATGCAATGTGATGTGTTTGTTAAATTGCTTTCATTTTACCTTTTGCACTAGGCTGCTTAGACTTTGGGCTCTGGCATTAGTGCTTGAAAGGCTGAGCCATATTCTAGTTCTTAACAGTAGGAGCTAAGAGTTAATAACTTACTCCTTAATCCTGGCCACATGATTTCACCATGCCTTCTTCTGCAATCCTTAGTTTCCTCTAATGACAATGATAGTACTTTAAGATATCAGGCTGAGTAATTAAAGAGGGTGTATATAAAACACTTAGCAAACTTCTTGAAGCATAATAACTATTTAATAAATGTTAGTCCTATTCATGATTAGTCTACTATTAGTTAACTTTGCTTATAGTACTTTAAAAACTCTTAGTGAGGTGTGTAAACTTTTTGTCATAGAATTAGCCAACATTTAGCTAATATATATATATACATTTAGCTAAGATATATTATTATATATGTTACATAATATATATTAGGATATTAGGAATTAAATCTATGTACACGTCACTGAGACTCAATTCTAGTGACTGAAAAAAATGCAGA